GCTTTGCTGGCAGCAGGGAATATTGATATTTGTTAACGGAGCTGAACAAGTACGTTGGCATATCACAGCTATGCTATTATTTTTTATTTAAAGTAAAATTTTAAATATCGTTGCTCGATAATTTGTCTATGCTAATATCTAAGAAATAATAAATTACTCATTAACTTTTTGTAAAGATAATGCGAAAGCTGCAGATGTTTTACCTCTCACTCGAAGAGATATCAAAGATCGAAGATATATATGTATATAAGTTAAGTATTATTAATATCTTTACGGAAGGGAACAGCTTTAATATACGGGATTTGCGCTGCACTGTCAGACTGCGCAGAATTCCCGACGTTTCGATTTCACGTCATCCATCTTCAGCGGCCACATCATAGAAAGCAGAGAAAGACTCAATACGTAGCGACTGTCGTGGATGTAATCACTGAAGAATATGTAAGCCACCAAATATGCTTTGCATACTCTGGAAATGTATGTTAATGTGGAATTATTAATTTTTAACTGTTTATCGTACTGAACCGTTATTGTTATATTACTATGTAAGGTTAAAAAGTTTCAACAGCACAGCAGCTGTTGAAAAAGACGTCTCCATTTATTATTAAGTGCGTTTACTGCTGGTGCGAAAGTGAGATTCCTCATCTCTGACAGGTTTGCCTCTTTGTCTCCTGTCAACTTATACCCATGCACATGGAAAGTCCTTTTCCATTATATCTGTTAAGAAGTTTCTGTCTGTATTAAAAAGCGCCTTTGTTTTATCTCCTTATAGTAAATTTTAATTGTCACGCCGTTCTGGTTCGATCAAAAGATTATTACAAAGCTTTTTGAAATTTCACACACAGCATCAAACAAAACGTACTGAAAACCGGACATTTTCTCGCTTCAAAACCTACTAACTTCAGTTTCTTGGATTTGTGAAGACCGGTAGCATAAGTAAGAAGCTTTCAAGCGTCGCTCTCCCCTGCCCACTCCAGCGACGTTACTGCGTATTCCGCAAACGGCCGAAATTGGCTATCTAAGACGAATCGCTTGGCTCGTGCATGTCGACAGAATGCGGGTTTTCGGATATAGAGCAAACGTTTCGTATACAACCGATACTTCTTCAGCTGGAGGAGTCACACAGCTGCAAACACTTCCAAAAAAACATCGAGAACGCTGAAGAACTGTCTGCGACCGGAAACTGAAAGGATAAACGAGCGATCGTCGAAAGTGCCTGATTGTAATTGTTTCTACAACTACCAAAGGGAGCAAATAAGAACGCTAAAGAATCGTAGGCAGGTTAAGAATCTTTACCGTTAGCGGACAAACTGATGATTTATTCGAATATCAATGCAAAAAACACTTTAAAACATAAGTCGTCGGTCGGTCCATTTGATGACGTGAATTTGTACACTTGAGCGAACGTTTTATTATTTTGCATAATTATTTTTTTTAAATTGGCGTAAAAATGGCGGGTTCGAGCGGGTTTAACGGCCATATGTTGGTTCACTGTTAAAAATACAGTTAGAGGCTGTGATGCTGCTCGACCAGCCGTATAACGAGTAAAGTTTCGCAAACCTATCCGTAAGAAAACCGTCTCCATAGCCGGCATACACTGTGCAGCATAGCCAGTAGCGAAAGCATGTAAGTTTACAAGAAAGGCATTCCATATGTTAAAGTTACAAGCAGTTGGATAATGGATGGACACATAAGACAGGCTTTCGTGCTTCGAGATTTGTTCCTCTTCGTTCGCGTCGTGCCGCCGGGTCGAACATCGTATATCCGCTGTTGGCGTTACAGTATTGCTAGCAGATGACCGAAACGTTCATGAAGTCCTGGTTGTCCAAAGCCAGCTCATGAACAGGCACATGGTCGGCAACAACGGAGGCGGCAATTGGAAAAGTTTCCAGTTCATATGCGGGGCACTATGCTGAGACTGACCATTGCAACCGTCCGAGTAACATGTACACAGGTACAGATGATTCGGATTGCGATTCACGTGATTCGTCGATCGATATGGCAACTGAAGCACGTCCTGTTTGTTGTAAAAATGGCATGACTCTCGCTCCAACCACTGATACCAGTGCACAATCGTTTTATTGAAGCCGTGAACTAACATCGAATCGTAGCAACCGCGGATGAAGCCTCGAAAAGGCATGCCTAAACGAGAAAATACCTTCGAATGCTAGTTTGAAAATTTACGCCATAATTGGTTTTAGTGCGACAGTTGATACTTTGGTGGTCTCAAATACTGATGCTTGTAAGTTGTAAATAAACCAAAGCTTTTTTTACAAACAAACGTCAATTTGCGGTTTACGATTTTGACCGATGTTAAGTCAGCTGTCAGGTCGGTCAAGACCAATCCGTAAGATGTACGTGTGGATAATACGATCACAGCAAAAGAAGTCGGCATCGGGAATGAAAAGTTATGAGCAACCCATGCGACACAACTGATCTACAAACAGAAGAGGAAGGCATAGCCCTTCGGGCTGTTGAACCGTACCGTTTCTAGATGTTGACTCCATCGTCTCCAGCGATGACACTATCCAACCGCAGCTAAACAGAAGGATCTGCATGACGTCCAGCGATTTTAAATACCTATCCAATATTTTGACTGAAAAACGAGTTACGATTCAATAAAATCGCCTGTAGATTGCCCCTGTCAGGTGAGCGTGTTGTAGGACATTAAGGCAGTGTCGTTCTCACGAAAAAGGAAAAATTATGGTTCAATAACGGCAGCGTTGGCTAAGACGCATAATGAGGGTTAAACAGCAGGACCATGTGACGAATGACTACATGCTGTTGCAGGCAATGCGTTATCGTCGTAGGTGAGGGAATTTAAAAAATCAGGTTGACCTTGTTAGACGAACTTGTCGAGGGCAGACTGCTTGCACTTGGCCATGCGTTTTTTTTGTAGTATGGGAAAGAAACAGACGTCGATCTGGAGGCCAGCCTGCAATATGAAGGAATAAATCAAAGGAGGGCCGCTTTCGCTTTTGTACAAGAATATTTTCTTACACGATGCAGAAATCGGTGCCATACATCAAACATGTTGAAAAGCTGTCAGTACATCGAACATCACAAAACAAATACGTGATAGTTGTGCAAACAGCGTTAACCTGAACAACGCTAATATGTACAACTGCCACCGTCGTAGCCTCGTTCAGTACATGTGAAACTGATCGTTTTCGTGCTGGAAGCTCAAATGCATTCATATCGTAGCCATGCGCTCAATTTTTCGAAAAATTACGATTCCAGCGTGTATCATCAATCTCATTTCAATGATTCAACCGTGCATTACAGTAATGAGATTTTTGCCCGCACTAAAAGCTA